TAGAATGATGCCTTTAAAAGAAAACAAATTATTTTAAATGATGTTAATGGCTCAATTACCTTGAAGAGAGTAAATGAATTATTTTACTCATTAATTTTCATTTATTAGACTAAATTGATTAAATGTGAATATTTTAAAATTAAAATTCATGCAAACTACAGAAACTACGGATATAATATGCATGAATTTGATGACTAAAATGTTGATGAGTAATGTTAGGGATATTAAAATTTTTATTAAGTATTTTATCAAATGTCTTATATGGGGTAGGTCCCACATAAATGTGAGGTCTATATCTATGTGAGACATTTGGTAAAATATTTGGTAGAATTTTGGGACCTCTAACATTTTCCAATGTTGATATACATTTAAAATATGACGAATTTACAACAAATAGATGTGCAAAAAACAAAGGGACACTTATCAATCAGTACTATTAATTAGACTTATTTACTTATAGGTCCTGACTGATAAATTTATCACTATAAATTTATCACTTGATAAATTTATTAGTAGGTCATAATAAGTAATAAGTTTCAAAAGTAGGAACTATAAGTAATTTATCCTTGAAGCAACAACCCAAATAACTGACCCGACTTGACCCGGATGTGCACCACACAGTCGGCTTCGAATGGTAGTTCTTTTCACCTCCACCTAACTGTTTTGTTATTTGTAATATCCTTTTGCACATTTTTAGATTGTTAAGAGAATTCTGTTAGAATATTGTTATCATATATTAATCCAAAAATTCATATGCAATAATTAATCAGCTACCAATACGTCCCAAAAGTAAATGAAAGAAGAAAACAAAGATAACCCTTATTTAAAGATCTGCAATCGATCGCCGAGATTAAAAAAAATGATATAGTAAAAAAAAAAATGCATTACGATATGGAAAATACAAAAACAATAACAAATTGATACTAAAATCCAACAAGAAAAATCAATAGAATGGCTGCCCCAAAAGGTGCAAAATCTTGAGATCACATGCTTTTAAGTAATAATAAGAAAAAAAAGTCTACACTATATATATGCAATCTTTTTAAATATCTAATACTCCATGCTCATAATTTCTTTTTAGTAATTTTTTTCCTTCTTTAGAAGTTAATAAATAAGTTTTTCAATTTGATCAAAATGAATAATTAAATTTACCACATTGGCCCCTACATATAGTGATGGAAAACATACCTTATTAATTATAATCTCGAGTTCGTGTCAGAATACTTTTAATACTAACCCAACTTGTTTATTTTTAAGTAATATTATGTCATGACATTTGGAATTAAGAAGATTGCTTTGTGCATGATTTAATACTAACTGAACTCGTATTTTTTTGTTTTTTTGTAATTGAGTCTTTTTTGAACCTCATTCTGACGATCAGAACCGTTCACTCTTTTAAAAGATATTGAATAGAACATATCTGTAAAAATTCAAGTTAATCGGATATCGGTATCCTTTTCATCAAGATATATTTGTATCTAAAAAATTAAATTTAGTATTGATAAAAGGAATACCGATATTTGATTAACTTAAATTTTTACAGATATATCCTACTCGATACCTTTTAAAAAAATAAACAACTTAGAATTGTCAGAACAAGACCGGAAAAAGGCACCATTGGCCGCGCACAGCAGCCTCCCCAAGCTCAATGTCATCTTCCGTTCGTGTTTATATCATGTCATGCCCCCAAAATTCAATATTTCTATGATCTATTTATTTGTCACAATTATCGTATCGTGTGATAAATTGAGGCACCATTTAGCAACTGACTATTTTAATCAAAAAAAATATTAAAAAATTTAACAATAAAAGAATTAAATAGGTTTGAAAATAATTTTTTATTGTTTAGAGAAAAACGTACAAAAAGTGTTGGAATGATGTTCTTGTTAATCCCATAATTTTTTTTGATCAATTTAGTAATTTTAGATGTGTAATGATTCATTTGTTATTATAATCTCTTTAATCGTTACTATTTTTTGAAGTGTTATGTTTGAAAAAAGTACATTAAGGAGTTTTTTAGTGTGTTACATTTTTTAGTATATTATTGAAGTGCTACGTTTGAAAAAAGTATATAAAAGAGTTTTTTTAGAGTGTTATATTGAAGTGTTACACTACGAAATTTTTTAATGTGTTATATTAGAATGTTACGTTGACGTTTGAAGTGCTACGTTAGAGTGACAAAAACATGATTAAAAAATCGGATCTAACTTTCTTAAGATGGCGTTCCCCAATGCGGAAAGGTGGAAACGTCCGTCAAATCATACTAAAATTCAAAATAGGACCTTAGAGAAGGTTGTTAAAACAAATAAGACCTATCAATATATTAAAAAATTCATAGGACTAATTGGAGTAACTGATTACCATATGAGACTTTCTAATAATTTATTCAAAAAAAATACCAAAAAAATTCACTTTTCAAACAAGTCCTGATTATAGCTAAAAAATCAAAGATTCTTTCTCATTCACTCTACTTTTTAAACAAAAATAATTTTCAAATATATTAGTTTTTTAGAAAATGATATATAAGTCCACTTTCTAAACCAATTTTCTAAACGAAATGATGTAGAAATAATATGATTAGTTAATAATTAGAGAAAATATGAGAAATTGTTACCTTTAATATCCTAATTGATTATCATATCACTAACTTTAAAAATTGACTCTAATTTTTTTTTTTTAATCTTAAATAACAATACCCTAATTTTTTTGGAAAATATTTTGGATCCTAAATAAATTATCAAATTTTCTACAAAATCTTTTACATGGGTATGAGACCTACACAAATCACATGTGTGTGGATCATACACCCATACGAGAGATTTGATAAAAAAATTTGATAATTTATTTGAAATCCCTAACATAACTAATATTTTTTTCACCTTATATTGAAATAAAAAAGAATTATGTTAAGGACCCTAAATATTCTAACAAATATTTTATTAAACCTCTCACAGTATGAGACCCACACACATATAAATTTGTTTGACCCCATATAAAAAATTTAATAAAATATTTGAAATACATAACAATTCTCAGTAAAAAAATCACTTTCCAATTCGTGAGTTCGTGTTGGAAATTGGTAAATCCTCATCAGTCATGACATAGCATAGTTTTGATTGAATTGTGGTCCCATTTTCCCCTAGTAATGACCTCAGGGAATTGTACCCTTGGCTGACCAACATCGGAATATTCGCCGGTATCTGACACATTCGCCGTGATCTGACGCACAATAGGACCTTAGAGAAGGTTGTTAAAACAAATAAGACCTATCAATATATTAAAAAATTCATAGGACTAACTGGAGTAACTGATTATCATATGAGACTTTCTAATAATTTATTCAAAAAAAAAATACCAAAAAAAATCACTTTTCAAACAAGTCCTGATTATATCTAAAAAATCAAAGATTCTTTCTCATTCACTCTACTTTTTAAACAAAAATAATTTTCAAATATATTAATTTTTTAGAAAATGATATATAAATCCACTTTCTAAACCAATTTTCTAAACGAAATGATGTAGAAATAATATGATTAGTTAATAATTAGAGAAAATATGAGAAATTGTTACCTTTATGGTGTGTTTGGTTTGAGGATTTGGGGAGAGATTTGGAAAGTAAAAGGGAAAAGGTGTGTGAAACTATGTGAAATTTAGGCATGTTTTATTCATATTTCACCTACCTTTTCCATTTCCCTTTCCAAATCCCTCAACCAAACACAACATTAATATCCTAATTGATTATTATATCACTAACTTTAAAAATTGACTCTAATTTTTTTTTATCTTAAATAACAATACCCTAATTTTTTTGAAAAATATTATGGATCCTAAATAAATTATCAAATTTTCTACCAAATCTCTTATATGGGTATGAGACCTACACAAATCACACGTGTGTGTGGATTCTACACCCATATGAGAGATTTGATAAAAAAATTTGATAATTTATTTGAAATCCCTAACATGACTGATGTTTTTTTCACCTTATATTGAAGTAAAAAAGAGTTATGTCAAGGACCCTAAATATTTTATCAAACCTCTCACCATATAAGACCCACACACATATAAATTTGTGTGACTCCATATAAAAATTTTAATAAAATATTTAATAAAATATTTGAAATAGATAACAATTCTCAGTAAAAAAATCACTTTCCAATTCGTGAGTTCGTGTTGGAAATTGGTCAATCCTCATCAGTCATGACATAGCATGGTTTTGATTGAATTGTGGTCCCATTTTCTCCTAGTAATGACCTCAGGGAATTGTACCCTTGGCTGACCAACATCGGAATATTCGCCGGTATCTGACACATTCGCCGTGATCTGACGCACGTTTCCGGCAATCCACCGACACACGCAATTTCTACAGTTTCCTCTCTTGCACAAAAAGGCCAATATTCTATGCTTGTAGTTAGAAACTTGCAACAGTTAAAGCTTCAAAGCTTTATATAAAAACAAAAACAGATCACAAACCACTCGTATTAAACCACAACAAAAGGCAAAATAAATAAATAACAATGTTACCTTATTCTAATTTATTATTCTTAGATTAATTCTAATGATATAGTATTAAGATTAGACTATATAAGATAAAATATTTATTCAATTTAAATTTAATATTTATGAGACACATCATGAATTTTAAGAATAATAAATTAAAGTCTCGTTTGGAAAAGTACTATTTTAGTAATTTTTAATTTTTTACATAATTAAGATCTCGTTTAGAAATAGATTATTTTAGTAATTTTTTAATTTTTTATGAAAAAATGTATAAAAAAATAAAGAGAGTGATGTAATAATTTATAATTAATTTTTAATTAAAATAGATAATTGTCAAATGAGATATAAGTATCCTAAATATATCTAAATATTTTTTAAAAACAAGAAAAGAAAAAGCAAATGAGAGAGAGAGAGAGAGAGAGAGAGAGGGAGAGTCGGTGTTAAAATCCAAACCAAGGCCAAATACTGACTATAAAACACCCTACTTCTCTCTCTCCGTTACTTGCTCTGCTTTCTCTCCACACCTCGCACACTCTCTCTCTCTCTCCCTCTCTGTCACAATGCCACAACATCGCTCTGTCTCTCTTCTACTTTGATAGAAAGAAACAGTAGTCTAGTTTGGGCAGAAACTGTGAGAGAGAAGACCTCGAAACAGAGCATAGTCTACTGTGAGAGACACAGAGAGAAACAGAGCAAGAGCAAGAGATCGAGAGATCTGTACTGGGTTCAATAGCCCATACAGACATATACATAGTTTTATATATAGAGAGAGGGAGAGTAGATCTAATTGGTTTGTTTTTTTTTGAAAAGTGCCCTGTTTTGAGTGCTCTGTTTTTGATTTAGAAAAATGGCGGATATAACAGCAAAGGCTCTGATACCAGAGACATTTCAGGGGGCGAGAGATGACATAGCGGGGCAAATTGGGTTGATTTGGGAACTAATCAAAGCACCATTGATTGTCCCTGTGCTCCAGCTCGCTGTGTATATATGCTTGACTATGTCACTCATGCTTTTCGTAGAGAGGCTTTACATGGGTATTGTTATCATACTCGTCAAGCTCTTCTGGAAAAAACCCGACAAGCGATACAATTGGGAGCCATTTCGTGAAGACTTGGAAATCGGCAATTCTGCTTTCCCTGTTGTCCTTATTCAAATCCCAATGTACAATGAAAGAGAGGTCTCTCTCTCTCGCTCTCTGTGTTCTTGTTATGAAGTGTTTGATTTGGCATTGTTGATTTTCTTAAATCTTGGTTCCTGGGTATATGAGTAAAAGCTAATATTTGGGGTGTGTTTGGACAGGTTTACAAGATCTCTATTGGGGCAGCCTGTAACTTATCATGGCCGTCGGATCGGATTGTGATTCAAGTACTTGATGACTCTACAGACCCTGCAGTCAAGGTACTCCAAAAATTTAACTTACCCATCCAAACAGGCCTTTACTAAAAGTTCATTTTTCTTGAAATTCACTTCAGTTGTAGCATTTCCTCTTGTTTACCAAAACCCAAATCTCAAATTTCTCAGTTCTTGATCTAAGTTTCACCATTGCATCACTCTGCTACCTAATTCAATCATTTTCAGATCTGATGTTTCTGTTAATTTTGTCATTTAACCACTTTCACACCATAATCGCTCCAAAATGCAGGTGGGTATGACTTTAAAATGTCAGTGTCAATGATGTTCTTTAGAGATAATAGAAGTTTGTTAATATTCATGGCTAGAATAACACTTTTAATAGCTTCACTTTTACTTTTTCTGTTTTATTCTCATAAATTGTGTGAATTTGCCCAATTTGTTTCATCTCAATCTCCAAAACCAAAAATGAATATATCATTGCATGCCATATAATCCAAGATCAAAGAGCATCAGGGTCATACTCAACTACTCCATTACCCATAATTGAAAACGCATTATTGACATACCAAACCCACAATCACTGATTACTCACATTCTTGAATTTCTCATCTGGGTATTGAAATTTAACAAAAAGAACACATTTAATGTTGTAGGATATGGTGGAGAAAGAGTGCCAAAGATGGGCTAGCAAGGGAGTGAACATAATATACCAAATCAGAGAAACCAGGGGAGGCTACAAAGCTGGTGCTCTCAAGGAAGGATTGAAGAGAGATTATGTCAAACACTGTGAATATGTCGCCATTTTCGACGCTGATTTTCGACCGGAACCAGACTTTCTCCGGCGAGCAATCCCCTTCCTCGCCCTCAACCCTGAGATTGCCCTTGTTCAAGCTCGTTGGAGGTTTGGTAAGTTCAATTGAATCCCCGGTCCATTCTATTAAGAACACAGAAATTGATTACATAAATAAAATAAAGAATAATTATATATGGACTAATTAGTGTATCAATTGATGATGTAACATAATTTAAGAAATCTTTGAAATTTGTATTGTGATTAATGAGTAAGATCAATAATGATGTCATAATTAGTGTTGGTAGACTAGTTAATATTCTAATTAGTGCATGTAACACTACCGTAAAATAAAATGCAAACGAATATTAATAAATAAGATTTTTCGTGTGCCCTCATTTGGAATAAGATTTTTTGATTTTTTTTTTAATTTTTATGAAAGAAAAAATTAGATGAGTATAATTTAGATGTAATATTTTATTTTATTAATTTTTTAGTCTATTTCATATTTTTGCGACTAAAATGGTTAAAGGAGCGTACACCAAACATAGCTTTATGTATCCTTGATTAACAATGATTAAGCTCACGCCTTAATTACCCCACACTCAACATTAATGACACCCATAATTTTCATTATGCTTACCCTAAAAAACTGTCGGTGGTCTATTCTAGGGTCAATGTCATTTTAGTGGTTATGCAACTACTACACATGTAAATGGGTACGCATACGTAGATGTACAACTATAGAATAGATTTGGAGTACTATTTTAGGGTAGTTTGTATTTTGTACCTTTCAAGTTTACCGATTTCTTACTTTAGCCTTTAATCTTAAGTTTTTTCAAATTTAGCTTGAACTAATTAAGGGTCATGTTAAAAAGATGGTTAAAAAATTGATTTTTTGATTTTTTCTTTTATAAAAAAAATGTGTAAAAAATGTGAGAGATGTGTGATTCAAAATAGATTAAAAGTTGACTTCCGATTATTATCTTCCTTCTCAAAAGAGCCCTAAAAGGTTATCACACCAAACAAAAGGGTCAAAGCAAAATAAATGTAATATTTACGGAGAATTCTATTATACATACCCCTCATCATATGCATCATGGTTATATTATTTTTTTCTTTAACTATGATTAATTTTTTCTTTAATTATGATATTATTTTAAAATTTTTAATTATATCTCATTTGTGTTTGACTTCTTTTTTTTTAACTATGACTTAGAAATTATAAAATTATATCATTTTCTTATTTTCTTTTATAGTTATAAGATATATACCATAGTTTTCCCAATAAGGGTGAAATTGAAAAGGTGTATTACTTAATGCTTAGAATGTGAAAAACAAAACTAAGGTCTTACTTGTAGCTAAAAAGTCACTACAAAATTATCATAATATTTTTTTATAAAAAATTAATTGAAATAACGGGTCTAAGTGGCTTTTAATTGGGCCATATTGATACAAATTAAAGTTTAGAAACCAAAATGAAAATTAAATCATATACTTTGGAAAATTAGAAGTAAAAGAAAACGAAGAGGAAGAAGAAGAAAATTAGAAGTAAATTACTTGTTTGACGTGGTTGGTTGTTGTCGGCGGGGTTTGTTGCAGACTGCACGGGAGAGGGAGTCCTGCCAAAACCCATTAATCACGGAGTGGGACCAGTTTAATGGTAGCCGTCGGATTACGACAATTGGATTGTTTTGTAGCCGTAGGATCACGTGTTGTACCCCCACATACATCAAAATACACCTACGCCAGCTACTCCCGCTATATACAACAAACAAACCCCCCAAAAACAATAATAATAATTAATTCTATTATTGGATTGCTAAAAAGATGCCACTAATTGTGCCTTAATATTACCAATTTCAGTGGCTATTTAAAAAAAGGATGTGACTTTTATTAATTACTGTAAATAAGATATAGTATATATATATATATATGTATGTATATGTCAGTGTATGTGTAAGTATATGGAAATAGATTCAAAGAATGTATCTTTCAAAATGATGTAGGATTAGTTTGGAATGTGGATTTGTTTTTTAATTTTTTAATTTTGTTGGTTATGTTTGAGGTTAAGTCGTGGAAAGAAAAAGTTTAAAATTTTTTTTGTTAAAACAATCATAAAAAAACAAAATAAACTAAAAAGTAAATAAGATAAAATGTTACATCAAAATCATAATCATTTTATTTTTTATCTCACAAATGTTAAAAAAGTCAAAAAGTTCATTCCAAACAAGGTTATTTAGCCCCAGACTAAAGGCCTATTTTGGAGTGTTTGAAGAAGATGGTTAAAAGTTGTTTTTTTGGCTTTTTTTGACTTTTTCTCCTCACAAAAAAGCCAAAAAAAGTAAAAAAATAGCTTTTAATCATTTTCTCAAAACATTTCAAAAAGTTAAAAAGTCAATCCACATCCCAAATGAATATTAAAAAATCTCATTTGGAATGAATTTTTTTGATTTTTTTTATTTTTGTGAGAGAAAAAATAAAATGATTATACTTTGGATATGACATTATATTTTGTTAATTTCTTGATCTATTTTATTATTTATTTATTTATTGCCCCTAGCCATTGTCCAGAACTACCCATGATTGACGGGGATGGAAGTACTAGATATCCGGGGTAGGTTTGTCATTTCGTTTAGTCAAGAACAAACAGACAAAACAAATTATTATTATTACAAGAAAAAGGTCAAAAAAAACTACTATAAAGAATATAAAGAAGTTTGAGGGTAAAATTGTCATTTGACTGTGTCCACGTACGTCCACGTGCTGGTATAAAACGGTTAGTAGGGTAGGGAGTACCACATGTTACTTAGTGGACCCCCAGTCGCATTCGCCACCGACACTAGAAAGAGAGAGAGACGGCATTAATTGCATGCACAAGGACAGTTTGGTAAATTCAAGTATGTTCTGATGACGTGGCGAGCTGTTGAGGTTTGAGCCACGTGATAACAAAGGTAGGCACGGCTTGTTATGTGATCGGGGGATTTTGAGAAACCAATAGTGGGTTTACAACTCAGCAGTTGCAGGAGAAGTAGTATAGGTACGGGCCACAGCAGATTCTGAGCCTTTTGCAAAAATTATTGAGAGATTGCCTTGGTGTAGCAATGGCAGGGTGATGTAAGTGGCCAATTTGAGGGAGGTGCTCTGTAGTACTTTGCTTTTATCTTTTCTTTTCTTTTTTTTAATCTTAGAATTTTAGAAATAATTTTAGAAATAATAAATATATATATTTTTTACAAATTCTTATTAATTTCTCTATAAATAATTTCTAAATTTTAGACTTAAAAAAAAGAAAACATTTGTACAACCATTTTAGTGTGAATTTAGTAATAAGAGATCACTTCTTTATTATTTTTGTATGTATTTTCATAAAAAATTAAAAATCAAAAAAATATAAACTATACCAATCTTAATACCAAAAGAGGGAGAGAGAGGAGAGGGGGTGGGGTGAAGATGGTTGACATAAAGACATGTGATGGGGGCTAACATTGGGAGGTACAATGCTCTCTCAGCCTTTATTGTGGCAACACATGCAATGTCCCCTATCCTCATATATTATACAGTTCTCTTGTCAGTTTTTTATTTTAAGATACAATGAGAAAGTGTAACCCTAATTTTTTTTACCTTTCATATTGAACAATTTTATTTATTAGGAAAATAAATAAAATAATTTTTCAATTAGATTGGTGTATCATCATCTAACATTGTCAGTATAGTAGATGATGAAAAATATGATTAATCTTAAAATATGTGATGAGATAATAGACCCCACAAAATGAGAAAGGGTTGTCAAGGATCCTATGTTAGGAAATGATGATATTGGATAACATTATTGTGTATTTTGTTATATTTTGATAAAGTCTCATTGTGATGAGATATACTATTTCGTACTAATGGGTCGTACAAATAATTAATCTAATTTTCTTCTTTTATCCTGAAGACAAATATGCTCGTAGTATATATTATGCTAAATTTTTACCCAAGTGCTAAAAAAAACGAATTGACACTGATATGTCCATTTAGCTTTAGTATTCTTTGTGTGAAAATGATGTCCTAATTTATAAATATTAAAAAAAAGTATCTTGAAATTTGGATTTGCTTGCATTATGTAAAGGCAATTCTAAAGTAGTTTTTTCATTTTTTGATTTTTATTTATTTATTTTTGGGTGGTTTTTGTTTTTACAGTAAATGCAGATGAGTGCTTGATGACAAGAATGCAAGAGATGTCATTGGACTATCATTTCACGGTCGAGCAAGAAGTTGGATCAGCCACTCATGCCTTCTTTGGTTTCAATGGTAAAATGCACTACACTTTTTTCTGTATTTGAATTTTGAATTTATACACAAATTTGTGGTGAAAAAAGAAAAAGAAAGGAAAACTTGTACGGTAAGCTCTCTTTTTCTTTTTCTTCACTTCTTCATTCTTTTTTTTTTTCCTTTTTTGCCACAATTCCAATATCCAACACAACTTAAATTGTGTTTGGATTTTGAATTTGATCAGGAATTTGTTAAAAGGAATGAAAGACAAGGAAAAAGTGACAAAAAATTTAGCTTGTATTTCTATCACTTTCCTCTTCCTTTTCCTTTCTCTTTATAAATCCCTACTCAAATGCTAGATCCACACATGACCTTAATTATTAGTTAAGCCACTTTTCCAAGAGTCAAGCAATGCACATATATACAAACTTTCCAAAGCTATTTTGGTCTTGACTCTTTTTTGGCAAATGCCTAAACGGTAAAAGTTGCCAAACTACAAAGTCATATACCAATACATATAAAACTTATCTATACACAAATGTGGTATGTTAAAGTGATTGGAACTGATGGATAAGTATTGTTGAAATTAGATTGAACATCTTGGCAAGTTTTTTCCTGAAATTTCAAAATGAGAAAAGAAAATTACAAAACGTAAAGCAAAATTTGCAAAACAAGATTGACACATACCCTGAGAATGTTGGGAAAGATGTTGTCATATGTTGACAACATCTTTCAGCTGAGAATTTGACACTCAAATTTAAGAACCTCGATCAATTAAAAATATACTTTACCAAACAAATTTGGAATATGACTTGTAAAACTGTGTGATAATTAGCATAAATCTAATATTCAAAAGAATACAAGGCCTGCTAGCTTTTTGAGTAATTAAAGGTTACTATTAATATAATTTGTTTTCATTTTACAATGAATTAATGAGATAGTACTGCAGGGACTGCCGGTGTATGGAGAATTGCTGCAATCAATGAAGCAGGTGGGTGGAAGGACCGAACAACAGTTGAGGACATGGATCTTGCTGTCCGAGCCAGTCTCAAGGGATGGAAATTTGTTTACCTTGGTGACCTGCAGGTATTTATTTAATTTCTATTTATTTGCATATTTTAATAATAAATAATTGAAGATTATCCCCAATTCATTTCATGGCTCACTTTTTTTTTGTTTGTAAAGAAATGTTACAATATAAGTAATTTAAAAGTGACAACAAATTCAAAATTAGCAGAGAGTACTATGTCTGATGATTGTTATGTCCCCTTTTTTCTATTTATAAGAGTCACAGTACATTAATGTGTACTGTTATTTGTTATACAATAGGTGAAAAGTGAACTTCCTAGCACTTTCAAAGCCTTCCGTTTCCAGCAGCACAGATGGTCCTGCGGTCCTGCAAATTTGTTCCGGAAAATGGTGATGGAAATTGTTAGAAACAAGGTCAGTCTGTTTTCAAAAACAATCCGCTCTAAAAAACAAGATAGGTGTTGGCTTTGTAACAATTGGACTAATTTTTTAACCAATCTTTCATTCTACGCATTGCTGCAGAAAGTAACACTCTTTAAGAAGGTGTATGTGATCTATAGCTTCTTTTTTGTCCGAAAGGTCATAGCTCATATGGTCACCTTCATGTTCTACTGTGTCGTACTTCCATTGACCATTTTGGTACCTGAAGTCGAAGTTCCTAAATGGGGAGCCATTTACATCCCTTGTATCATCACCATTTTGAATTCAGTTGGAACTCCAAGGTCTATTCTACTTTTCAAACTAATTATTACTATTATTAGCATTGTTATTTGGACAAGACACGATTTCTGGCAGAAGCAATAGCTAAAATAACACAATTCTGAAATTGTAGGTCTGTTCATCTGTTGTTTTACTGGATTCTGTTTGAGAATGTGATGTCTCTGCACCGGACAAAGGCAACCTTAATTGGTCTGCTAGAAGCGGGGAGAGTTAATGAATGGGTTGTCACTGAAAAACTTGGAGATATGATGAAAAACAAAGCAAACACGAAAGGACCAAGAAAACCCATATTCAAGATCGGAGACAGGTGAAAAATACTTGAAAATTTCTCAATTTATATGAAAATGTGTGCAAGCTTGCCCACATTTGTTATATTATAGAAACATTTAGAAATTCACTTCTTTAGTAGGATTGTGAAGTCACCTATTAGCATCTAAAGTGTGCATTTTCTACTCTATAACATGAATGGTTTGTATGTATTTATTTTTACACATTAATTAATTTTTCACTGATTTGTGGTTAAAAATTTACAGAATTCATATGTTGGAGTTGGGATTCGCAGCGTTCCTCTTCTTCAGTGGATGCTATGACTTTCTGTATGGGAAGAACAACTACTTCATATACCTATTCCTCCAAACCATAACCTTTACTATCATGGGATTCGGCTACATTGGCACCATTGTCCCAACTTAGTGGTGGCGGCACACTCAGATTCCTTGCTAGCATTCATCATCTCAGCATGAATCTTTCTCTCCTCTACATCTACACCAGCATATATACTAGTGCCTTCTGTTATCGACACTTGATTGCATTTATTCCAATTTCAGCTCATAAAAAAAAACATAGTCGAGTTATTAATCGTGTTGAGCAGAAAATTCTAGCTGTTTGTGTCTCCGGAAACACCAAAAACAAAAAAAGAGAGAACAGAATGGTGTGTGAACACATATATGAACATGAAAAGATTGAAGCAGAAGAAACTGCATATAAGATTAGAGAAGTCAGTGTGTTGTTTTTATTGAAATAGATTGCTTTGTAATTGTGAGACTTTGTATTTCTTTCTATCTTGTTGAGTATCTAATTTGTTAGTTTTTTTTTTTTTTTTTTTTTTTTTGGGTCTTCTTAAAATTTTTATTTTAGAGCTTGGAGAGGGAATAAGCTAATGGCAAAGGGCCAACCTTGTAAGCTAAGTTTTTGTCAGTTTGCAGAGTCTTTATTTGTTTATTTGGTCATAGACGATTGTATTAGAGAAAAGGGGAAAAAATTAATTGAATGGAGGGTATTTGATAGTTTCAATTATTTTCCTGTTTGTGCTTTCTCTAAGATGGTTTTGTTTTCATTTTATGAGAAACACACACACACACACACACACACACACAAAAGAAGGTAAATTACACTGACACCCTTGAGGTTTTTGTTTAATATAGATGTCCCTCTTACATTTGAAAAATTACATTTCTCTCCCCGAGAATTGTAATCTCATTATAAATTGTTCCTTAGATTGCTGATGTCATGCCTTAAATTTTTCTAAATAATCATTTTGTCCTTTTTCTTGCCATTTTTTCTTCTTATTATCATAACTACATTCTATAACTTTTTATCATTAAATTATATCTGAATATATATTCTTATTGAGCGATGATATACAAACATAAATTTTATATAAAAATTTCAAACACAATTATATAACTTAATAGTAACATTTCACTTTAAAACAAAACACCCATAAACACAATTTATATTTACAATAATATCACTCTCACAACAATTTTATGAGTTTTTTTTCTATAAATTTTTATATATTAATATAATTTTTTTCATTTTTATTTCCATAGTATATCTAGATTAGATCAATTTTATCTAGATATATTTAAAAAGTACAAAATTTGTACAAAAAACTTTAAAAAAAAATCTATTGAATACAACAAAATAAGATAATGTATTGAATTTTTGTATTTTTGTTTTTGTTTTTTGTTTTGTTTTTGTTTTTTTTTCTGTATTTGGTGAATTTAAAAAAAATCACAAAATATTGTACTTCTAAAGTATATCTAGATTAGGTGTATCTAAAAAATAAAAAATTGCTTAAATATTAAAAAATTTAGTAAAAATAAAAAGACATGAAAATTTAAAAAAAATTTCATTTCCCTTGAAATGGAATGAACAAAATATCTGCATTATTTATTATTTTATATGTATAAAGGCTAAAGGGTAAATATGTCATTTTAATCTGATAGGGGTGTAAGTGTAATTTTTTAAATGTAAGTGGGGATCTATATTGTTAGGTTTTATTCTTGGCAACCCCGTTTGACAAAACTCCTTTTAGTTGTATTTGTTTTCGCACCTTTTATTTCAGTGAGGGTATGAGTTTATTAGATGCGAATACGACTCGAATCGTGCCTTTGTCAATTTCCATGGATCAAAACCGAGGTTGTAAGAGGATCAAGTTTTTCAGATTTTCCAATTTTGGTCGTCCTGCTCGAGCGGGAAAAGTGACGCTCGAGCGGGGATTGCAAGCTCACAGCATTTCTGTTTCGCCTGAAAAAGTACTGGATGGTACGATTCGACGCTCGAGCGTGGAAACTTCCGCTCGAGCGTGAAGCTTATATAAATCACACAATTTTGAAGCCTCCGCTCGAGCGGGAATTACCACACTCGAGCGGACCGCGCGAACACAGATTCTTGAATTTCTATAAGGAATTAGTTTTCTTCCAAAACTAGGATTACTTTAAATTTCTATAAGTAATTGGTTTTTCTTCCAAAACTTGGACAAGTCCTCTAGATCTTCTTTTTGGATTCTAAGGTTTATATCTGGGGATATTTTGCTAGTTTTCTTTGATGTTTTCATTGAGTATTCAACTCATGGTTTAAACAGTATACATCAAAGGCTTGTTTGTTCATTCTACACAAAAAAGAGAGTTGTTCTTCGGTAGATTCTGAAGAATTCGAGCCTGAAGCTTTGGTGGATTCCAGAGTGGCTCATCGTCAAGACAATTCCGAGGTGAAAACGGGGTTGGAAGAGGCACATAGATGTTGGTTCAATTCGGGCGTGGATTCGCTAGGTAATTGAGAGTATACTTGTGTAATTCCTTTATATCTTCTTAGTGGATTGTTTTGTGGCTGTTGCCCGTGGTTTTTTTTATCACAATTGGAGGTGTCCAATTGTGGTTTTTTCACGTAAAATCGTTGTGTCGATTTGTCTTGATTGTTTGATTGGGATTGCTATATAGTACTTAAAATTGATACATAATCACAAATCAACAGGTAGGGGATTTCTAGATTTTTCAATTAGTATCAGAGTAGGTCGCTCTATTTTTTTTGTTTTACAAATCTATTAGAGCGAGATCTTGTTTGATTTGTGATAATGGACTCAATTCGTGAGAGAAATTCTATGGTTTGACCACCCCTACTTAACGGATCCAATTATTCTTTTTGGAAAGCTCGGATGAGATCGTTTTTGAAATCAATAGACGAAAAAGTTTGGCAATTTATCATGAATGGGTGGACCGAACCAACAATTACCGTTGATGGAGTAACATTCCCTAAACCAATTGAAAATGGGACACAATTGATTACTAAAATAGTAGCTGGAATAGTAAAACTATCAATTCTCTCTTTTGCGCTATCACACCTGAAGAGTTTAGTCATATTTATAATTGTGAAGTGACAAAAGAGGCTTGGGATATCTTACAAACTATTCATGAGGGCACTCCTTCTGTTAAACACTCAAAACTTCAAAGGCACACGTCTAGTTTCGAAAACCTTTCAATGAAAGATAGTGAGACCTTTGATGAATTTTATGCGAAGTTGAGTGATATTGTAAATTTCAGCTTCAATTTAGGTGAAAAAATACCAGAATCCAAAATTGTGGGAAAAATTTTGAGTTTATCTTTGCCTTTAGATTTATGAGTATGAGTAGACTCCAAAAGTTTAGGATTCTTTTTCAAAAATCTTCAAAAAGAAATTTTGGTTGGAACCGATCAGGCAAGGATCTCAAAAATTTTCCCATAGTCAAGAAGGAGAAAGGAAAGATACAAGGGAACTCTGAAAGAATCCAATGCTATGAATGCCAAGGATTTGGCCACTTTGCTTCAGAATGCCCCACTCGTTTGAAGAAGAAGAAAGCCCTGGCCATCACTTGGGATGATGAATCAGAATCTAATGAAGATGAAAGTGACAACGAAGATCAAGGCGAAGAGGGACATAAACAATTCCTTACTTTCACGGTGGCTTTCGAAACTGAAGGACGAACAGAGTCTCCGAAGAGCCCAGTTGAGAATGCCACTGATGATGAATTCTCAGGAAGTGATGATGAAAAGCTTGAGCAAGCTTATGAAAAGTTGTATAAGGAATCTCTTAAGTTATCCAAATTGAATGACAAACTCACTATGAAACTCAAAGCATGTGAAAGTGAGAATGTCAAACTAAAAGAGGAGATTTCCGAGGCTAGGATTGATGCCATCAAGATAGCTAATAATCGACAAGCTCTTTATGCAAAACTCTTGACTTGTGAGACAGAGAGGAATGAGCTACAGGACATCCATGCAACATATGAAGAAAAAATTGAAACTCTTGAGATGTCTCAAGTTGCTTTGGAAGAACTAATGATCAAGAAAGAGGAAGAACTCAAGTGTGCTATGGCTACCATTGGTCTTTGGAACAGAGGATCAAAACTTTGGACAATATTATTGGGTCTCAACAAATTTGTTCAGACAAGAGTGGCATTGGCTTTGGTGGTAAGAAAGAGCAAAAACAGAGTGCTTCAATATCTCATGATACAAGAACTCAAGGAAGGGAGAACAAAAAATTCAACATAAGGATGAACTTCTCAAACTTCCTAGACTTGGTAAAGTAAAAGAAAAGAAGGTACACCCTGTTTTTATTTGTCATCATTGTGGTATGCATGGTCATATTCGCCCTTATTGTTATAAGTTGCATTGAAGAGTGTATTTGCCTAGACCTAAAAGTAGGAAGTTGGAAACCACGTCAAGACGGGTTCCCATTGAAAGGGAAGGGAATCACAACGTCAAGACACCACCCAAGAACCACAATGCTCACAACTTTGTTCGTACTAAAGCAGTTTGGGTGAGAAAACTTGACTTGTGTTAATTTGTTTTTTCATTTTAGTTTTTGGGTTTCTGTGTGTTTGTTTTTGTCATTGCATGTGTGCTCGTTCATTTTTTTTCTTGCTTTAGTTAAAAAAAAAAAATTGAAAAAAAAAAATCTCAAAAAGTTTTTCTTAGTATGATTTTGCAAGCTTGAAATTTTTGAGTGGTCCTTGATACATATTGGAATTGATGAGAATATCCATTACATGTTAATATATGTGTGCTTTCTGTGGTCATTACTCATTTTGGAGTGCGTGTTTTTTGATTAGTATGTCTCATTCTGTATACACTCTTGGATTAGCAAATTTTGGAGTCCTCCGCCTTAGTGATTTTTTTCTCTATGGACTTCTGTCATTGATCTTTTGCGTTTCTAGAGGAATTGACCTATACTAGCATATCATGGGTGATGTTGAGTCTCTTAACCACCTACCATCTTTTTGCATCTCCATGGCTTTCCCCTCTATTCTTTGTAGTCCAGCTATGAGGAAAAGGCTACCTCAGAGTCACCAACCAGGCCATCCTTATTATATCCATGCTTCTCTAGTTCGGAAAGAGTAGAAGAAAAAATATGCAAAAGAAAGAAAAAATGTGCAAAAGAAAGAAAGAAAAAAAAAAAAGATTCATTGATTGAGGGAGTAGCCTCCGCCTTTACTCACCAAATACCCCTTGATTCCTAGTGGTTTGACTTTCCTGTGTTGTGCTTAGATTCTCTTGCCAGAGGTCTAACTTTCAGATCACTACTAGGATTGAGTCTAGTGTTTGTCGAACTCCAAGAGTCACACAAACACTTTTGTCATGGGATCTATGTTTTTCACATAATGCATCACTTTCTTTCGTGAGGACTCTTTTATAGACTGTGCACATTGTGTTTTCAAGTAATTGTGTTTCTTGAATAATCTTGTGTGTTCTAAGGTACAAATCTGAGATTTCTTACTTGCTCCACCATATTTTTTTTTTGTCATTTTCTTCTTGTTCACTGTTTTCAGTGTTTGTGGTTGCTTTTAGTGAGGGGAGTTTGGTTCATCTTGATTTGGGTTGGTAAGGGAGTTTGTTTTTTTGTATGTTTCTGATATTTCCATCGTCATATCATTGTTTGTGTGGTTTATGATCTTGCTTTTGTTGTTTGAGAGTTGTTTTTCATGAGTCTTAGTTTTCATCTATTCATGTTTTCCATCTCATGTTTCAAGATAATCG